CCAAGATTTTTTTCTGCTACATTCCACCAGACTCTCAACCAAGTGTGTTATCCTATACCAAGAGCTCTTGATTCTAGCTGTACATTAGGATCATCTGTGATGCTTTCAAAAGGGCCGATGACCAGACCTCACTCCAGACCAATTAAACTAGAATTTGTTGGGGAGGGGCTTTGTTATTAGTATCTTTTTTTTTTTTTTAATTTCTACATAAAGCCATGAGTTTTTTAATTATTTTTCACAGGATTAATTGCTTTGGCCAAATGCCTGGGCATGATATGGGCATGGACCCAGCAGGTTCCTCTGTTAGCTTTTGTGATTCCCTTCTTCTGTGGAAGCTAATTCACCATCTGCTGTTGAGCATTACATACCACTTCTTGGGATATCCTTTTCATCATCCGTCAAATAAGGGCATTGTCCAAGGGATCTATCTATACAGTGGCTTTCAACTCTTCTACTTAAAAAAGCTTTGGTGCAGTGTAGGTTGAAGTGAGGGGAGGGAATGAAGAGGATAGAAAGTGCTATTTCTTCCGCAATCATTGACACACACACAGGCATTTTGTGCACTCCGGAGAGCCTCCTCGTGCAGGGGGGTCCATCAAGTCCCAGCTTTATGTATTATGTTTGACATCTCAAGCAAATGTAGCTAAACTTTTTGATTAGCTCAAGAATAGGTCGCAGGTGTGGGGAATTGTACAGCCAGTGCCTGGTGTGTAAGAAGCAAAAAACATTCAGAGAGTGTCACGGGAAACAAAAGAGGCCACTTGTATTCTTCGATCAGCAGCTCCTAAAGCAAGCAAGCATATGCTCAAGCCCATTATGTGCAAGGAGGTATTTGTTTCCTATGTTTGAAACTGTCTTGAGATGCAAACAAAATAGAACAGAAAGCTTTGCAGGCCTTCCTCCCACACTGGCTGGTTACCTACCACATGTGGGCCTTTGAGGCTGAATGGGGCTGTCAGCCGTCAACTCTTGACAAAACCAGCATTAGGAGGCTCCGAGTCTCCTCCATGCGGTCTGGAAAAAGCAGGCATGGAGAAAGTTGACCTTTCAGCCTTGCATAATCTGGGTGTCGCTATTGCAGGAAAGTCCAGCTTGGGAGCCAAAGCTCTTTCCTAACCGCTGCTTTTCGGGAAGCAGCATGATGGGAGTAATTATCACTAACATTTGCTGAGGGCTGGACGGTTAACAAAGCACTTTCTAATTAATCCTCCTTTACTCTGATAGCAGCCCTAAGGGAAGTCATTATCACCACTTACTGGATGAGGAAACCGAGGCATTACCTGGCTTCCCCAAGGTGGGGCAGAGAAATCAAGTCAAAGGCTGGACTTGAATCTAGCTCTTCTGACCCAAGACCAGTGCCCTCCCCTCCCCAGGCGGAACTGAACCAGAACTCCCCGCCCTGGTAGCATCGGTACATTTCCTCGCTTGAATGTGGGGCTGCCTGGGGCCTGAAAGATAGAGTTTCTGGACTCCTCTTTCCTGTGAGTGCACTGAAGAGCTTGGACTTAGGCCTTCCCTTCTGTCTGCCTTGGAGGCCCTCCCTCCTAGATTGGTTTTTAGAAAATATTGACACTGGCAACTGGATTAAAACATTTTGTTTCCTTTGTTGAAATCTTACATGTTACTATTGTAGGGACCTTGGAAAAAATTTAAATAACTTCATTATTTTCTTTTTCTTGAAAAAACAGTACAGCGGGGCGCCTGGGTGGCTCAGTCGGTTAAGCGTCCGACTTCGCTCAGGTCATGATCTCACAGTTCGTGGGTTCGAGCCCTGCATGGGGCTTGTGCTGACAGCTCGGAGCCTGGAGCCTGCTTCAGATTCTGTGTCTCCCTCTCTGCCCGTCCCCCACTCACACTCTGTCTCTCTCTGTCTCTCAAACATAAATAAACATTAAAAAAATTTTTTTTAAAAAGAAAGAAAAAACAGTACAGGGTCCTTCCTGACAAGTGTGAACATTTCATATACACAAAGATGACATTTAAAATATTTATATTCCCATTTTAGAGATAACCACTGTTAATATCCTGTTAATATCCTTCTAGGCCTTTTGCATTTACCTATTTACCTTTTATGTAAATACAATATTGAGATGGCTAGATAATCTATATTTACAGTTATCTTGTGTTACATCTTCAAAAATTCATATATGTGTATATATGCATCTGTGTGCTGTGGAGGGAGAGTTGGTAGAAACAACTTTCTGATTAGCAATGATGGAATCATTATAATAGTACCTGTTTATGCCTGGAGGATAGGTTCCTAGACCCTCACTGGATAACTGAAACCACAGATAGCAGGGAACGCTGCTAGGAAATACAATGTATTTCCTCTATATACATACCTAGGATCAAGTTTAATTTATAAATTGGGCACAGTAAGAGGGGCCCTGGATGGTTCAGTCAGTTAAGCGATCGACTCTTGATTTCAGCTCAGGTCATGACCTCACAGTTCGTGAGTTCCATCCACCTAGTCCAGCTCTGTGCTGACAATGGGGAGTCTGCTTGGATTTCTCTCTCCCTGCTCCTCTCCTGTTCTCTCTCTCTCTCTTTCTCAAAATAAATAAACTTTAAAAATTAGACACAAGAAGAGATTAACAATAGTAACTAATAATAAAATAGAACACTTATAATATACTGCAATAAAATCACCTGCATGTGGTCTCTCTTTCTCAAAGTATCTTTAAAATTTTTTTAATGTTTATTAATTTTTGAGAGAGAGAGAGAGAGAGAGAGAGAGAGTGAACAGGGGAAGAGCAGAGAGAGAGGGAGACAGAATCCGGAGCAGGCTCCAGGCTCCGAGCTGCCAGCACGGAGCCCGACGCGGGGCTCGAACTCACAAGCCGTGAGATCATGACCTGAGCTGAAGCTGGACGCCCAACCGACTGAGTCACCCAGGCGCCCCGATATAAGTCTTTCTCAAAATATCTTAACTGTACTGTACTCATCCTTCTTAGGATACAGAGATGATAAAATGCCTATGTGATGAGATGAAATGAGGAAAATGATGTAGGTACTGTGATGTAGCATTAGGTTATTGCTGACCTTTGGACAATATGTCAGAAGGAGGATCATCTTGCTTCTGAACTGGGTCTGACCAGGGGTAACTGAAACCACAAAAAATGAGGTCGTAGATAAAGCGGGATTACTGTCATCCAAAGATGCTGGCATAATTTCCCAGTATTGACTTCGGCTGTAGAAGACTCGGGCACACTTTCATCCATCCATCCATCCATCCATTCATTCATTCATTCATTTTATTCTCCCATCACCTATTTTTTTTTCTTTTTTTTTTTTTTTAAATTTTTTTTAACATTTATTTATTTTTGGGACAGAGAGAGACAGAGCATGAACGGGGGAGGGGCAGAGAGAGAGAGGGAGACACAGAATCGGAAGCAGGCTCCAGGCTCCGAGCCATCAGCCCAGAGCCCGACGCGGGGCTCGAACTCACAAACCGCGAGATCGTGACCTGAGCTGAAGTCGGACGCTTAACCGACTGAGCCACCCAGGCGCCCCTCCCATCACCTATTTTATACCAGGCTGTATACTAGGCCCTTTATATACATCATCTCTAATGCTCATGGGAGTCCTATAATTAGAGATGATACTCCCCACGTAACAGATGAGGAAACTGGGACTCAGAGAGACTTATCTGGTATTTCACAGCCAGTGAGTAGAAGAGTTGGGATTTGAACCCAAATATCCGTCGCCCCAGGGGCTGCATCTGAAGCAGCCCAGGGTGATGCAGGCAGAAAGGAAGCATGTAAGGGGAGCTGTGGGATCTGGAGGTGTGATGAGTGCACCATAGCCTGGGAATCTGTGAGCTGGGTGGTGGAAGATAAATAAGACAAGCAGACGAAGAATGGGGATGGTACGCGCAAGGGGGCCGAGGCGTGGACAGGCATGGCATGCTTTCAGAATGACATGTCAGGGCACAGCTGGCCCCGAGCTGAGGCTGGACCCGCAGATCAGCCCTAGATCAGAACGGGCTCGTCCACGATCCCAGGGACAGAGGCCTGATCCCACAGTGAAGCCGCATGGTCATGTGTGTTTTGGAAAATCAACTTCAGCAGCAAAGGGCTGAATGGTATCAAGTGGGGGACAGGGAGATTACTTAGGGTGCAATAACAATAGGCCAGATAAGAACGTGTAACGTAATTGATGGAAGAGAAGCGGATGACCTGACATATGAAGCAGAATAAAGAGGACTTAGGCAAGACGTTCATGAGCCGGGTTTGGGGTGTTTGAGCTCAAGGTCCTCGGGTCTTGCAGAGGAACAATCTATTAGAGGCCTGCTGTGGTGCATATTGACCATTCAGGTTTTGACTAGCTGTGGACATTCTGCCTCACCATTGCCTCCGCCACTTGGGGTGTGTTCTGTGAGTTTTACTGGGTTTTCCTTGCCCCTGAAGCAATTTTTTTAACAGTCCGTTATCTCTGATTCCTACAGCTGGAAATAAGTTGCAGGGTTTTGATCCTTTGATCGGAACACTTACCCAAGGGGGGAACATGTTTTGCTTACTCTTTCGTAATTCCAAACGTTGCGTACCTTGACCGATTTTGTCGAATCTGTTCGAGGTCCTGCAAGATCCCATCCTGGAGCATAAGTCTCCTCCCAACATTACCACGTCACTGTTACTCACTTTTGACAAAACTGAATCCAGAGTCCAAGATCCTTAAATGAAGCTGAGTTGAAGGAAGGACATCCACTTTTACCTAATCATGAAACTTAAGTTTTCAACAGTAACATGATACGTGTCAGAGTCGCGACTAGGGGACTTTCTAGGAGAGCTGGATACTGTTAACAAACCTTCAGAAGAGCACAGCTAGAAGAAACCTTAGGAATCATGGAGCTACCATCTCCCTGATGGTAAGCAAGCCCAGAGTGGGGAGGAGTACCCACAACACGTCAGCGGCAGAGATCTGCCAACAACGTGGTCTCCTGGTTGCGGACTTAGTTAAGTGGTGAGGACCTGTGTCCATGAACGTAAGTAGATCCACTCATGTCTTTCAGGTGGCTCCTTCTCTGTCACGCTCTGTGCCTCTCCTTGTTGAAAGCTTCGGCCCACACCGTGGAGCTTAACAATATGTTTGGTCAGATCCAGTCACCTGGCTATCCAGACTCCTATCCGAGTGATTCAGAGGTGACTTGGAATATCACTGTTCCAGAGGGATTTCGGATCAAGCTTTACTTCATGCACTTCAACTTGGAGTCCTCCTACCTTTGTGAATATGACTATGTGAAGGTGAGACCCCTGATATTCCCTCACTGCGCCAGGTTCTCTACTGGGAGTCAGAGAAGAATTAAACACTGTGTTTTCCCTCCCAGGGTAGCAGTCCAGTGAGGAAGGCACACAAAGTTACAACATGATGAACGAAGGTTGGGGTGATATGCTAGGTGCAGGCTGAGTGGGAGATCTAGAAAGGACCACAAGGGAAACTGAGGCTGGCAAGGTGTAACTCAGCCAAACGTAACCTCCCCTGTTTTCTTTCTGTTCTCGAAGTCCTTAATGTTTCCACTAACCTCTGCTCCAAGGTCACCTTTACAAGCAGCGAGAAAAGGGCAGAGACCCCAGAGTAAGCATAACCAGACTGACACACAGCATAATGATGTCCAAAGCTGAGGCATTTGAAAGCCTTGCCTACTTCCCTAAGTAATGATCAGGTACTTGGGAAGGCTGGGTATACAGTAGCAGACAGTGGGAGGTGAGATCAGGTTGGATTGGGGTGAGATTCTGAAGGGTCTTGAATGTGATGCTGAGAAGTTTAGGTTTTCTCTGCAAAGGGTGTGGGCAAGGTTGGGGGGTCAGAATCAGAAGTGCATGTAAAGATCATGTGGAAGAGGAACAGGAAATGATTACAGCATCCAAGCAATATTGCCTCAACTTTAGAGGGACCCCACAAACATTTCCATGGATGGGAAGCTGTTCTCTGAAAGTAGGGCTGAGAAAGGTTGGAGTACGTCTGGGAGATCAAGTTTCTTAAGGTTGTATCTGGCTCAAAAAGGTGTGGAGACCTACTAATCTACTTTCTAAGCTCTCTCTGGCTTTCTGGAAAAGTTCTCACCAAATCATTCCAGAGTAGATTTTATATATTTTCAGTCTTATCGTAGTCTCTGATTTCTACAGCCAGGAATTCAACAAAAGTTAACCTTGTATTAACCAGAATTTTTGACAACAGCAAAGCAGTGAGTTTACAATGTACATTGATACTTGAAATCTCATTCAATCTTTAAAAAAATTCTATAAGACAGGCACTTCACAGGCAAAGAAACAAACCCAAGAAGGTGAAGCGGTGGGTCAATTTACAAACCCATGTCTTGTGACTTTCATTTCCATGTTCTTTTGGCTACACCAAACGAACGGCTCTCAGGTCACACTCCACTGGGCCCCAGGATACTGCAGGGGCTTATAAGACCACTGTGGGGGTAGAGGAGGCTGATAAGTGGGACTATGAATCCCCACCCTGTTTAAATTTATTTTAAATGTTGTGTATTGCTTATTTTATACATTGGGTCTCCACCAACTATCTCATTTACGGCAAGGTTTCTAAGATTAAAAACTTTCCCAGATTGGTGGTCTACGACAGAGTGTCTTAGCTTCAGCGCTGTGGATATTTTGAGCCAGATCATTCTTTGCTGAGGAAAACCGTTTTGCGAATTATAGGATTGTTAGCAGCATCCCTGGTTTCTACTCACTAGATGCCAGTAGCACTCCCCCTCCAGTTGTGACAACCAAAAACACCTCTGGAAGTTGCCTATATCTCCAGAGGGACAGCATCTCCTAGTTTGAGAACCACTGCTCATTGTGATGCCGCCCCTCTGTGAACGTCCTATGCTAGGGACGATGAGAATTTAAAGATACAAAAGATCTGGTCCCTCACAGGGAGATGCGAGCCTAGAAGAGTGGCCATTGCATAAGATGGAAAAGAATAATGACAATAAAAGATTGACAGATCAAGAATGAGAAGAGGTAGATCTGGATGCTCTAGGAGATGATGTGGGTTGGCAATCTAGACTGACATATAGTTTCCCTAAATTAATTAAAAATGGAGCCAACTGGTCAGAGTCACAGGGATCCAGCAAGCAGTATTGAGCAAGACTTGAAGTGTTCATCATCCTAAATTGAAATTTCTGACAAATACATTAGTTATGTCTTCCAGGATGTAATCTAGCCTCTGCCATAGCCAGACTCCAGGAGAAGATGCATTATGGGTAGGGGACATTAGGTTGGCAGACTCTTCCAGGCCATTCCCCCAACTAATGCTGGTCATAAAACCATGGCATCCTCAAATATTTGGATTAGAAAGTGGTCTTAACCAGAAGGAAAATGACGAAACATTGGCTTAATACAACAGTAGGTTCCATAGGTTTAAACAAGGTTAGATGTGAACTTCCTAACTGCTTTCTTCTTATTTTCAAACATGTCAACCATCTAGAATTTTTTTGCAGTGGAAAAAAAAACAAAAAACTTGCTTTTGCTAGTAGCTGAGGCCTTAAGACTGTGGAAATTACAGAATTTTTTTCGTTAGCTGTAACAATGACTTACTTTCATTATCCACCCCCCTTCCTCCACCCGGAGAATTGACTCTCAATTCATATACACTGAGCAATCATTTCTCACCAGTTTTCCTCTTGTTCAGACAGATGCCAAGCTTGACCTTGTTAGGACTCCTTTATAGAGATAATAAACACACAGCAGAGGATTTAACTCATTCCTTTGTCCCAAATAAATGGAGTCTCCTGGCAAGGCAGATTAAGGAGCTGACATCAGCTGCATTTTGTAATGGGAAAAAAACGACAAGGCACTTTTCCAGTCCAACAATAGAACCCAAAGACCTCTTCTGACACTGAATTAAGGACCCTGGAGTATTCTACCCAAAGCTTGACCTTTATAGCTGAAGAATACTTGGGAAACTAATTGATAGTTTCTATCAGGGACTGTGAGACACCTTCAAGAAAGTCCAGGCAGACGGAGGTAGGTCCTCTGGAAGGGCAGCATGGTCCTGGATGCTTGCCCGGGATCCAGGAAACGCCTGGTCTAGTCCCCAGTCTGCCACTGACTCCTGAATGAAGGAAACGTTATAGCACTCTCTTCACTCCAGAATAAGACTGTGACCCCTGGGCATAGCAAGGAAGCAGTCTGCTACCTGAAGTGCCCCACAGTCCTTGCGTCTCTGGTTCAGACACCTTTTCCCAATTCGAAAAGGGATTCATGTAGTGGGCAGGGAGGGCAAGATGTATCTCTCTTCTTGTGCTGACTGCCTTCCAGAATGTTACCCCAGGCATCAGCATTAGCCTCCCTACAGAGGTTCCAACGGCCACGGGACCTGAGCAGGCCTCCCCTCACAGGACGTTGCACCCTTGTTGGCTGGTAACTCATGCTAACATAGCAACACGCTCTGTGCCCCTGCCCACAGGCACCTGGCGGAGTTCCTGTCTGGAGTCATGAACTCCCAGAACGTCAAGTTGCCTCGGCCCTCAGGAGACTCAGTTAATCCCCCACTGTTGTTGTTATTATTGTTTTTCAAACATTTCCGCCCCGTGAAAGTTTTCGTCTAACAAATTTCTGGGAGGCGCGATAGAGAAAACAGAAGAGTGGCCGGCGGGTGGAAGGTGGCTCTGAAGCTCACTCATCCTCCTGGGGCACCCTGAAGGTCAGCATTTATGACTTGAATACTGCTTTAGTCCCCACCGGACAGAAGAGGAGCCTGGGAGCTCCAAATTCTGGCACAAGGCTAGTACTCTGGCCTCTGAACTTCCAAACCCAGAAGCCTTCCACATACAGTTGAAATCCATTCACTTCTAACTGCCCCCCTCCCTCTGCCCTCCAGAAAAGGTGCCTTTCCTGGCTATGAATGAGAGGGAAGCTCCTTCCCTTCCATCTGAATAAAGCAGGAACATGCCATGTCACTCCTGGGTAAGTCAACATTCCTCTCCAAAGTTCTATTTTCTCATCTGTTCCACGATGGGGTGACATGAGATGATCCCTAAAGTCTCTTAAATTCCTAGACTCTAACCCTAATGCTCCTCACCAGAACTTTCCAGATGACCCCACCAAACCCTCACTGTCCTAGTTAGGATAATGCCAGAAAATGGTAATAATATGTTACAACATCCACTTCTCCAAGTTCTGTGGCCATAAGCATTCCAATGAGAGCCTACCGTCCGCAGGGGATGTCATTTAGAGAAAACTTGTAAACACGCCATGCCACCACTGTCCTTTCCCAAGCAACTTTAAATATCCCTGATGTCCCTTTGGTGGGACATTATCCCCTATTTTGAGGCTTTTACACTCTGTGACTGAATTCCCCTGGCAGGCCTAGGAGTAGATTTAAAGCACCCTCGAGCTCACAGGGACCCTTGCTGGCCCAGCCTAAACACACAGACACAGACTGTCCTTCCCACCCAGGCCCATCAGGGTAACAATAATGGAACTGCTGACTCCATAGTTCAGAGGCTTGAAGAAGAGCAGGACCCCAAGGCTGTGGTCCGGATGCTCTCATTTTATGAAAATTCCTCTCTGGCCTGATTTCCCGCAGTCCTTGGTCTTCGAGGCGTGTGCACATCTGCACGACAGCATCTGCTTCCTTGGAATGTGGCTGCAATGTGTGGATTCCTGCAGCGCACAGATGAGGCAGATGAGTCACAGCTGGTTAGCACTGCAGGCACGGGACACAGCACGGACGCTGGCTGTGGTGGAGTCAGAAGGGTTGGACTCTTGGGGTCATTCTCCACTCACTAGCCTTGGGCAAGTGAGTATTTCTAGAGGGGATTCAACTTCCTCTTCTCTCATACAAGGGAAGTTGAAACAGACAGTCTCCAAAGCCACCCCGGCCCGGATATTCTATGCATCTAAGACCTCAGAAATCATGGTTCAACTCCACGACCAGACCAGCATGACCGAAGCCTAGGGAAGGGGCCATTCATTGGCCAGGGCCACACTGAGAATTTTTATCTCAAGACTCTCAGTCTTTTCTTCTTTAAAAAAAAAAAAAAAAAATTGGGGCCTGGGTGGCTCAGTCGGTTAAGCGTCCGACTTCGGCTCAGGTCATGATCTCGCGGTCCGTGAGTTCGAGCCCCGCGTCGGGCTCTGTGCTGACAGCTCAGAGCCTGGAGCCTGTTTCAGATTCTGTGTCTCCCTCTCTCTGACCCTCCCGCGTTCATGCTCTGTCTCTCTCTGTCTCAAAAATAAATAAACGTTAAAAAAAAAAATTAACAGTGAAGTCCCACCGGGTGGGAGCTTAG